TAATCAGGATCTTGCATAAAAATAATAAACCATGCACAATCTTTTTGGAGTTGACAATGACCAATTATTGTACTTTAATTGGCATACTTGTTATCTGTTTTATAAATGTCTACTGTAACAAGTGCCTAACTCAGAGCAAGTATATAACTGGGAAAAAAAATCTGAATTCAAATACAAGAATGTCCCTCAGTATGTTTAACAAGATAGCAATATTTGATTAACCTTGGGGCTAAAGCAGCTGGCAGTGCCCCAGACTGGAATACACCCAGGGCAGTTGTGACATGTCTATTGCATAAAAGGTAACAAAACCACAAAGAGGTTTGACTTGGGTATGCGTGTTCATTCCCGTGTAGATTTGTCCGCTTTGTCATAGTACCTGTATTAGTAACATAACACAATGGGCAAGCCTGGATATTAAAGCTGAAGAGCTTTAGTACACAAACTTACTCATGCTTTGTGGTATTCATGCTAGGTTATTTAATATTTGTTGTCCAGGGAACACTGAAAGAGGCAGGTAGGAATTTTCAGAATGCTTTTGGATGGCAGTATGCTCTCTTTTCTCCATGTATATAGCTCCTGCATTTGTCAAGGTCTCCATTTTTGGCAATTAGAGGAAGGACAGTCAGATTCCTTCCCCAGTCCACTTGTGCATTCTTCTCTTAGATACAGCAATCTATGTTTGGTGACTGTAAAGGTCATATCAGCCAAGTGATTCCTTCTGAATCACTTGGCTGATATGACCTTGGGTGTAACAGACTCCTATAGAGTCCTTCACTTTCTGGTGAGCAAGAAGTGAAACATTTTGGCCCAGCAAAGGAATGACAGCCATTAAGGGAAGATAATTCACGCTGGTGATCATGTCACCAACCAGGGCTGGAAACAACTGTCAGAAACCAGAGCAAGTCTGGACACTTCGAAAAGGCCAGGCCAGCCATAGGAAAGAGGTTGGAAGGGTCAACCACCAAAATAGCTAGAGAACCATGAACAATACTAACCACATATGCACTGAAAAAGCTTTTGGGGGACTAATAGCAACCATAAAGGAAAGTCAATTTTGGATAAACTAAACTAACTAAAAATGGTAACTAAAACTGCTTTTCCACTTCCTGGAGACATAACAGAGTAGTTAACCCTTGCATGGCAGATGAAGCCTCCCTGCAAGGGAGGTCTAATACTTTTCCCAGAATTCAGCTTTAACTGTTGCTTTAAACAGTCGGTTATGTACACAGGGGTATTTTTTAATCTGAGCTTGAAAAGGCTAGTCTTTAGTTTCTCGTTTTTTTTGCATTTACAGGCAATTTAAAGGAAACCTTCCTTGAGAACCGCTAACCAATTGACATCTTGGAGCTGTGATAAGGACTTCTGACTTTACTCTGACATTCCTAATATGCCTACTTAGGTTTAGGCAAGTGGCTGAAAAAATTATAGACAGCATTTGAGCCAGGCAACTTGCATTTCAGGAAGAGGTAAACAGTGGCAGGCCCTGTATTTCTCTTAGTAAAAGGTGTACTTTAATATCGTTTGCACATATCATAGTCTTGGTGACGAACAAAACACCTGCTTTCGCTGTTCTAGGTCAGTGTCTCAGCAAGTAGTGCAGCAAAGAACAGGGGGGCAGCTCAAACCATGTACATACAAAAGGAATACAGCTGCTCCCTTATTTCTAGCAAGATAAATTCTAATTAAAACTACAGGCACCAATCTCATCAAAGTCTTCAGAGTAGGCCAATAGTTAGTATACAGTACTGATCATGACATTTTATTTGCATTTAGATTTGTTTTCTTTTATTTTACAGGTACTAAAAACAACATAGCCAAATTACATATTCACTACTGACTTGGTCATGTTTTGTCTCTTAGGTGCAACACCCCCAGAACCTGTTCCTGACACGGTTTAGTCTCTCCCTCGATGATACATTCCTCGATCCTGTCCCTGCCACTGTGACATACAGTAACACACAAATTCTGTGTATCAGCAATGTCCATAAACGCTTGTGAGATGAACTCCTTCAGTTTGCCCAGTGTGTGAGGCTTCCTTTCAAAAATCTTATCCTTTTGCTATGCCCCCAAAAAAGAAGCCCATAGGTGTTAAGTCAGGTGAACATGGCAGCCACTCAATATGGCCAAGTAACCCAGTCAAATGCTGTTGTGATGTCAAGATAATCTCATATCAACAAAGCAAAATAGGCAAGGGCCACATTATAATTTAGGAGCGATGTATACCTACTGTTGGCCCACCCTGTATAGTCAACAATCCCAGACTAGACCTGAAGGTTGCTTGGAAGGCTTAGAAAAACCGATAGTTTTTTACATCCTTAAAAAAAGGCTTGCTTAACATAATAGTCAAGATTAAAAAAAAAAAAAGAAAAAATATTTTGTCCTAAGAACCAAAAGCTGTAATGGGGTCTAAAATTTGAAACTAAATTTTAGCCATTACCACTCCCCTCTGCTGTTCCCAAAATTAACCACTTACTAAAAGGCTGCAAAAATTTCCTCAAAAAAAGTTCAGTTTACTAGTACCTCTATTTACAGGTAAGAGCAACTGGGGGGTGGGTTTCATTTGGGGAACCAACTGCCTTCTCCGGCATAGGCAAGCTGAGGAAATGCCCCAGATTGCCGAAAGAAACTGTAGCACCCCTCCCCAGTATGAACAGTGTGATATGCAAATACATATACTTTACTTATTATAATCCCCAGTGCCTCCTATACAAGAAAAAAAAGTCTTACTTCATCTAAATTACACCAGATACCAATTTCCAGCCATAACCATTCATGACTTTAACACAAAAAAAACAAAAACACACACAACTACAAAGGGTAGAGATGTTGAGTTACAAATTGTATCAATGTTTGAAAAATACTTTTTTGCATGATTTACTTTCCTGGTACACATACCTTCTAGTACAGTTTTGTAGAATGCTATGCAGCAGCATACAGTGGTTTACAATTCTCCAAATTAGAATCAGATTTTACAAAGTGGTATACACAGATACGAAATGTCACTGAATTTAAAAAGTGCAATAAGGGTGGCTCCTACATTGTGTTATAAGAATCCTATTGGGATTTCAAATTGACCATTATTATACCTTTCATTAAAGAAGCAATCATGTTACATAACAGTTATGAAGATTTACATTATATAATAGTCCAATTAACATTTTCAGCATATACCATTGCAGTTATTAATTTCTGCAAACATAAAAGATTCCAGATTAATTTCTCATTACTATAGTTATGCACACATAAAAAAGGAATGTAAATATGATAGAGATGCCAAGTAAAGGCAGCTAGTTGAGAATTGAATATTTGTGTTACCATTAATAAATGTCGTACTTCAATGGATTAAAACACTATGGGGTTGATTTACTAAAACTGGAGAGTGCAAAAACTGGTGTGGCTCTGTATAGAAACAAATTAGCTTCCAGGTTTGTTTTTTTTTGTTGTCCAAGCTTAATTCAAGAAACTGACTGGCTACCATGTACAGCTGGGCCAGATTTTGCTCTCTCCAGTTTTAGTATAATTAACCCCAATGAGCCGATTTACTCAAGGAGTAGAAACTGTTTATCAAGGGTCCATTCACACCACTATGGTGCAGTAATGCACAATATATATACACTTGTGCAATTCATTGTGAATGGTACCCCATTGCAGGTCTACTTTTTATTGTACATTATTGGTTATTCAAAGTGAACACAGCTTCGGCTACTCTACTAAGCATAGTAAATGTTCACTTTGCTAAGTGAACAGTCGTTATTCCTTTACTGGAAACACACTTTTTCATGTTTGTGTGCATTTTTTTTCCCCCTTTTTCATTTTTCATTGCATAAGCTTCTTGTTCAAGCTTGAACAGTAAACCCAAACTTGATCCATTTATTTGGTGGCCTTTAAGGTACACATACAACAATCTGCTCTTTCTCATTACAGTTACTGAAAACTGTATAGTGTGAAGACCTCCCTGATTCGATATAATCTTCAAACAAGTATTGTTAGATTGTCAAATTATCTACTTGATAGTTAACCTACAGGAGATTGTCTAGTTACATTGTATGCTTTGTGTGGCCAGCTTTACATTTAGTTGTAGGAATCCTCCTGCACATTGAAACCACAAGGCTTTGTTGTACAGGTGGTTTTCAATATTCAGATGTTAACCAGACCCATGAGCATGAACAAACTGAGATATAGATCTTCTTTCTTCTATTCTTTCATTTGTTCTTAAACCTTAGATTGGAACTAGGTTTAAAAAACTGCAGAACTGTGAGATCTCTACTTTCTGGCTTGTTGTCCACCACTGCTGAAAACACATATACAGCATAGTTTGAAGAAATATTTACACAAAAAAACCCCAAAAAGGTCACTGGTCCCTCTTTCTAAAGCTGGAAAATAAAGTGAAGGACATGTAAAAAACAAATATTTTATATATTATATAATTTTATATTATAATTTTTTTTATATAATTTTCTGTAATGGCCTGTGCTACCACCTAAACCTCAATACATTTACATGCAACCAGAATCAGACAAGGTCTGCAGTTGCATTGGTCATATGAAGTAATTGTTTATTGTGACCTCTTTGAATGCTAATAACCAACACCATATGTAATTATTTTTGACATGTTTACATTACAGTAAACACATGTGCATATACAATTTAACATTGTTACAAATATGACAAAATGTAGAGTCTGAAAACATATATTAAGGCTAAAAAGTCCAGTAACAGACATAAGCAATGCAAGAGCAATACAGTATTGTAATCTGCTTCGGATTGTAAGGTAAGAAATACACCAGAAAAGGAAAAAAAGAAAAAAAAAAAGTTCAGTATTTATTAAAAAAAAAAAAGGAGAAGACTAGAGACGACTCCAGATCTGTTTGGCATCTCAAGATTTGACACCATTACCGGCATCAGTGAAAGAAAAGAATAGTCAACTGTTAGAGTAGTCTGGCCATTCTGGTTTCATTTGGTCGTGCAAAACTGTAGCAGTTTGAAAGCCCCTGGAGATGCTAGTCTACTGGAGGGGCTGGAGGTTCATGACTGTGATCCTGCAGATAAAAGATAATACAGTGTTCATGGGTTATTCTTATGACTCTTATTACAATTATATTGTACTGAAATAAATTCATGCCAAATATAAAGAGCCTTAAGTGTATAAAAAAAAATGTTTTTTTCTTGTTGCCCAGTCTAGCCAGATTAGACCTTTCATGGACACATGCTGCAATAAAAACACAAAAGAACGATTTTCATTGGATGTCAGTCAACATGAACCATTCTTTCTTCAGTTACTCCTATTTACAGCCCAACCTTGTTAATATTTACATGCTTAGTGCAGTTAAGCGATTTGTGCTAGGTGTCTCCAAGACGTAATTGAAAGAGAAAAGGAAATGAGTTACGGGAATGGGTCATACACCCATGAATCAGCCTAGTATTATTCTTATAATATTATTTAACTTTCTCAGCACTATACACCAATTTAAAGAGATGGGAGCATGTTGACAATGGGTTAAAGGGTTTGTGCCAGAATGCAGTACATGAAAAGACGCCACTCTCCCAACCCTTGGCCTATTGTAGGCTGAAGCAGATTTGATTTCCACACTATGGTGGCTAGTTGAGAGAGTAGTGTCTTTTTCATGTACTGTATACATGGTTTTGGATGAGCTTCTTGACAGCCTGTTTCTTCATTTGAGGATCTCAGGAACATTACACCTGGCTTTGAGTGGTGTACTAAGTCCAGCATTAAGGACCGTACCAGATTGGCAATTAATCCCTGGGAGTTGGTTTGCAAAACACTCTGCCCACCCAATCCTCAGACTGGTGCAAGTGCTTTGTGAATGGTGAAGTGTGTCTACAAATTCCTACACCAGCACAACAAGGGGTTGCATTTACCCTCATGTTTTAAAAACTCAGTAGGAATGGAATTGTGATTTTCACTCACTGAATGTCTTTCTCAGCAACTGGTGTAGATTTGTGGGTTTTGAAGTGTCCAGAATGCACAGGTCATTCCTTGTCCATACCTAGTCTCTCCTTGCTAACAGGGTGTATGGGCACAGTAGGATGCAATAATGAACCCACAAAGCAAAACATGCATGCTCATCACCCCTTCCACAAATAACATGTTGTCTTGATAGATCTAACAGCCAATGGGTGTTTGCATCACAAGTTTACATAGGAGTCACTAACAAACAACCCTCAGGTAGAAGCAATGCACAACAGTGTATAAATAAACTCAGGAACCCAAAAAACACTACACTTCAGTATGGTTAAAAGAGAAGCTACAGTTATACCTTTTATACAGTAGTACAAAAATAGCAACAGTAATGATCTCATTCAATGTTGTGGGTTGGCAGTCCATATATATATAATGTATACACACAATGCTAAAAAAAATGTCATGAGATTAAAATCAGATGAACCCAACAACTGTTTAATGCAGATAAAAAAAAAAAAAGAAAAAGAGCATTTTTTAAATGCTCTTGTAAAGTTACAATTACTTAGTCCACTAAAGTTTAGTGATATGTACAGGGAAAGAGTGGTGTAGTAGAGGCAAAAGGACATGCATGGATAGGAAGTACAGCACTCACGTTGTGTGGGCTAGTTGGCTTTCCAGTTGCCCTGGCTCCTCGGAGGCTCCTGGGTCTGAGCAGGTATAGAGTAAAACCAATGACGAGCCAGGCCATAACAATCATAGCAATGTTAAGCCACCATCAGAAGAAGAAGAAGTATTGGGTCCAGGCACTGATGAGGAAAGGAAACCAATTGTAAATTTGTTTCTGAACTTTACGCTGTAGTATCCTGTACATTTCCTACTTTAAAAAAAAGTAGCTGGTGGGGGACCTGAGAAGAGGAGGATCATGGCTGCTCTGTGCAAAACCATTACACAGAGCAGGTAAATATAATAGCTTTATTATTTTTTAAAAATGAAAATCATCTTTTTACAATCACTTTAAAGGCAGAAGCCAAAAAAACTGTAGAATTTAAGTTTTCCTTTAAAAATGTCCAATGACAATATGCCTTTTTCTCACTCCAATGTACAGTAAAGATATTACCTGTTGATCCTAACTTACCCCTCATGTTGACACCATTTTCTGTACAGTACCATCAACACTATTTGGTCACCTTGCAAATACTGATCTGCCCAGGGTTGTCAACACACAGAAGCAAGGACACTTCACTAGCTATGCAGAAGCCCTGTGCTTGTAGGCTGCTTCCTTCCCAGTTTGAAGTGTCATACAGCTCCTCCATCCGTCCCCTACTTTGCCTTTCTGTGGTGGACAGGGAAGCAGAGGTGATGAGGTCACAGCAGGGCCCTCCTTTCCCTCTTGTATTGAACTGTATTGTTGCTGTATTGTCTCCCGTTCTATTGTAAAGTGCTGAGCAAACTGTTGGCGCTATATAAATCCTGTATAATAATAATAATATTAATAATAATCACGTATCAACGTCAGCTGCTCAAAAAGAGCTCTACCTTCTGCCTATTCAGGAACTCAACATGGTTAAGAGCCCACAATGAGTGGGAAAAAAAAAAGAAGGGTACTTGAATGGAGAAGAGACTTCTAAAATTAAAGCTGTAATAGAAAGACCATTCAGACTTTCATTATGATATGCCTTTCCATCTATAAATAATTATTCTGTTTTGGATACAGTGAAAAAGAGCTGGAACATCTCAGAATTGCTTTCTATGTCCACTCACTTATACGGGCGGCTGTACACAACACCTGCAGCTCCCCATGCAGGGAAAAGCACTGGGGATTTTGAGTACGAGGACTTTGTAGCCTCTGGATGTCCATGTGCAGGAGGCCTTAGTCTCAGCTGGGAAGACACAGTGCTGGGTTACTGGTCTCATGGCTTCTGTTAAGGGATCTGATATTCAAACAACAGCAATTCTGCATCCTGACCCACCACTTCAGAGTCAATGTATTATGGCACTGCTTGTTTGACTGGCCTCATAGGTTCCAAATTATTCTAAGTATTATGAGAAAACATTTTTCTCTGTTCTGTATTGTCTTTTCTCAAGTTCTCTGTTGCTGAGGACTTTCCACAGTATTAAGGGTAGCATAGTGACAAATTAAAAATAAATGCTTGTTCACCATTTTTAAGTTGAACATTGTCTCCAGTATGTCATGTAAGGTTAGAAAAAAAAAAGAAAAAACACAAAAAAACACTGGCAAACTACAGACTGAGGCAAGGCAAGTGTTGTAAGCACAGGAGACCTGGACTTTGCCAGTAAGGAAAAGTTTATCCAATTGCAAATGATAGTGCACACAAGCTATGGTTTAATCAATAGCCCAGTAAAAATGAAGTAAAAAAGAAAAAAGCAAGGGGAAAAAAAAAAAAAGAAGTAAAAACACAGCCAAAACAACAATAATTGGGGGGGGGGGGGGGCATTTACTAAAACTGGTGTACATAGAATCTGTTGCAGCGGTGCATAGTAGCCAATCAGCTTCCGTCAAAGCTTAATTGATCAAGCTGAAGTTAGAAGCTGACTGGTTACTATGCACAGCTGTACCAGATTCCATGTGCAGCGGTTTTAGTAAATGTCCCCCAATGTGACAGTGTAAAGGATGAAATGCTATAGCTGTAAGGAATGGCTGTTTTTAGGCTTGATGTGGTGGAAGCCTATTAGCTTCCTCTGTGTCAGAATGTTCATATTATTCTGTACAACTGAGAAACTACAGCCATAGCAGCCCATCCTGCAGATTTGGGACCCTAGGGGCACAGAGGGCCTGATCCATGTCTGAAAAGGGATCGTAAAAGGATCAATGCATTGGTTGAGTGTGCAGATTTTTCTACACATGGAGTCATCTATCCAAAACCAGCTTCATTCTGACCACCCCACAAGGAGAAGCTTCTCTTTAGTTCATAGCATAGGCTTGATGGAGCAGTAAATCATTGGGGGGGGGGGGGGGGTAGAGTCTGAGCACCTGCAGATAAAATGGATAAATCAGATTTCATTGGTACAACTTGTAAGTGTTCAATCACAATGGTCACTGTTAATTATCGAGAACTAAAAAAAAAAAAAAGTTTGCTGTTAAGTATAGAGTAGAAGAGGATTTGAATACCTATCAGGTTTTTATTGGAATTTGTGTACTCCATAGGGAATTTATCCTTCTTTATTTGTCACATTTACCATTAATCACCAAAAATTTCAAAATGTGTTCCAACCAGAACAAAAATAGAGCGGAAATCCTCTAATGTGAACACTTGTTCTGGTGACCATAGTGAGGGATTTCCATTGTTTTGACTATGGAACACAAAAAAAAACAAACACAAAACCAAAAAACCACCACACCCGCACACACTAGTTCCACTTTAAAGTGTTATCCTGCATTCACTATATCTGGTCTCCCACAGTACACAGAACATTTAATTATTTTAGTAAATATAAACTGCTAAATATCTTTTCCTATCAGCAGTTAGAGCAGTCTTGTGACTTCTATCAGTGTTCAGCAGAGCACTGGTTAAGCTTGTAGGAGGAGTTTTCTTTATGCTCTAGGAGGATGCAGAATCCTGGACTTCTATATGGACAGTGCTGATCACATGCACTCTCCCAAGAAAAAAAAAAATAAAACTATCTAGCAATACACACACCAAACTGAGCATGTGCAGAGTGTCACCACATGATATGTCTTATCAGGAGAAAAGAGATGGACACTGGAAGAAGGCAAGGATCATAAAAGCCAGGATAAAACAGCGTTTTTTACACAATGCAGAGGATTAACTCCTTTGGTTCCACATGAATATAACAATGATGCTTTACTGCATATACAGACTGATTTTACTGTTGTATGTTTAGTAAGACTTTAAGGGATATGACAGGGCTCTACAGAGGTGTGTGATAGGTTGCCCATCATTCACTATCAATTTTAGAATGGTTTAAATGGGGGCTGCATTACAAACCATCTATTACTGATGGGGGCCCAATCAATTTTTTGCTATAAGGGTCCAATTTTTTCTAGTAAAGCATCAGATTTGAGATATTCCTCTTCTCCACTTGTATAGAACGATTTTCTAATTGTGTATAGGGTTCTTGTTCAAAGCACAAAAAACAAAAGAAAAAAACTGAAATGCACATGAGCAAAAATATGTTCTGTCAGGTCTTATTTAGAAGACCATAGTGTAGTGTGTGTGTTTTTCTAGTGTATGTGAATGTTTTTCTACTATAGGAAAATGTTGTTTTCCACAGGGAAAATTCTGAAACAGTTGATGGCACAATTGTATAAAAAACAAGCAAAAAAAAAAAAAAAACTCCCAAAAAACCAGACATCAATTTTTGATTTTCGTTCGACAGATTTTAAGGCCAGCCTTAGTCACTAGTTTACAAATAAGCAAAAGTGGTTTTGTGAAGGGTGACCCTAACCTAATTATGTGCAACAGCCAAAAATCAAGCCTGCTATGAAGAGAACAAAAAAGGGGTTGAAATGTGAGAAGTAGTATCAGAAGTTTAGATCTACATTAAAAATAAATAGATGTATTATATAAATATATATATATATATATATATATATATATACATGACATACATATACACACACACACACACACATATGTATGGAGATATATATATATATATATATAGCATGGTTGGGTCACACATGCACAATTCTTTGGAATTGTATTCATGGAATCAAAGTCCGTACAACCTGACGTATACACATATCAACAGGACAATATCCCAATGCATATATATATATAAAGGCTATCATCAACTTATCATTGACCCCTTATCTAAAGAAAGCATCTATCTATCTATCTATCAAGCTATCTATGACTGTAAAAGGATACATACTTGGGGGTTATAAAAGCATAATCTCAGAGAAAGACATTTGTGTACAATCCAAATATGCTTTAACTGGTATGGCTTTTATATGGTTCCTTAACTCCATAGAAAAAACGACATCTAGAGCTTCGTTAGTTCTACTGAATTGTAAAAATCCTATAAAACACGGACATTTTTATGCCAAATACAAAGAAATGACAGAGACTAAGGGCTCGTTCACACTGTCTACACACAAAATTCACCGTTTCAGCATGCAGGCAGCTATCAGTTTTTAGGTACCATGAGCTGTGGTAAGGGAGCAGTGTGATGCGTTTTCAGGGCATAGCATGGTTTTTTCATTGTTTTTTTTGTTTTTTAACATTTGCAGTGTAAAAAATGACACTTGATTTATGTCTCTTACTACAGTGCACAGAGAGGCACTGCATGTGAAATGCCAATGCCCAGTTCACTACACCCCCCTCCAGTACAGGGTCTACGGGGCACAACGAAAACAATTGTTTAAAATATCCTGTAGCGGTGGCTGGCTTTTTCAAGTGAAAAAAAAAAAAATTAATAAAAATGCCAGTTACCACACTATATGTGAATAAGCCCGAATAGTTTAAAATATCCTGTAGCGGTGGCTGGCTTTTTCAAGTGAAAAAAAAAAAAATTAATAAAAATAATTTTTGGCTACACAAATCAGCCTGGTAGACTTGCAGTGAGATACTAAAATCAAGAGAACACATTTTACAGAACTACTGAGTAAAAAGCAATGCCATTATTGCTCATTTAATGCAGAATAATCATTCTAATCAACCCAAAAGTATTCTGTGGCCCAATGTTTTTATATTAATTTAAGTGGTGACTTTTGAAAACTGGAGCAACCTTTTCCTTGCTCCCCATTTCCATGACAAATTTGAGGGAACACTTATCTTCATTACGGCTTTGTAATTGTTCCAACCACCTACTTCTGAAGACA